ACTAATGGTACAATACAGTTGAAGCAACCCAAGAGTGTCGGCCATGTTCGGCTATTCAAAATTTCGATTATCTACTCGGTAGATAGCGGCGAGAAACCCATGATGCCCTGATTTTTCACTTCATCACAGATATATTGGAGGACTATAAGTCTTTCGGTTGAGGTGATTTCACCGCGCTTCTTGTATGATGGATCCTCATGCTGTGTGAACCAAAACTTGTCGCTTTGCCATGCTGAGCGGCAGAGACAAGCATTAGTCACTCTCATCTGCCTATCACAACTGTCCATCAATCATCAATGACCTCAATCAGCTGTTTGCCTAAACACTGATTGGTCTACTCTCGGTGTCGACATTCCAACCGACCAATCGATGTTTGAGACCACCTAATCGTGTTTACAGTTTCTAATCTATGCACATTTTTCTGCTGCATCTGTTACATAGAGCACCTATTGATCCAGCTGCCGATGACCGCTGCCAAGTCGTCACGCTCAAAAGATCCACCTAACTCGAGCTGAATTACAGTTGTTCCTAAACGAGTCAGCTTTCTTCAGGTTCACGATATTCCATAAGCTATCCCCGAACAGACTGACTCTGCACGCCTTACGTCCAGTTGAGTCTATACAAATGTAATCGAACAATCTATTTTCGAGATTCACTAGGTGAAAGAAGACTAATTTTTCTCCAACGGCATTCGTTAGTGTGGCTCCAATGCGACTCCTTATTTCGGCTTTTCGGAATAAATATTCATCTTGTCCACTACAAGCGATGCAGACTACAATCTAGTTTGTCGGATTGGGTTCACTAGCATGCTCTGCAATCCATTCCATTGGACTCTTGTTCACGTGACTCTCACTCAAGAAAGCAGGGTCGTGTTAAGTATCACTGTTTTATAGCTGCCGTCATTAAGGCTGATGATAGTGGTGACAACTGTTCAGCCCTACGTTAACCGTTATTCACTAGGCCGTGGTGACTCGCCCAGGACACCAAGGTCTAACGCCATTGCCTAAGGCAAGTTAGCAACAGAGAGTAACTAGGTTAAACTCAGTGACGGCAACCCTTGCGGGGTTTCCTGATGTAGGTGGTCCGGACGTTCAGACAAGCCATCTTTTACCTAGACAACATAGTTTAAGGTCAATGAATCAAGCGAATGTGGGGCGGTGGACCTGTAACAGTGCAACGTATCACGTGCGAAGCGAGCTAGGTAGCAACCACGGCTAAACTCATATGACCCTATGGAAGTTAGGTCATAGGCACATGCATGTGAAGTTTGTGTTTACGTTTCGGTAACTACGACAAACGCGAGTTAAAACAGTCCCATAAACCACGGGATGGCGGCATGTAATCGATGTGCGTGGAATGATAGAACGACCGCGTTTTGCTCGCCACCATCGGTTCTACCCAACACACGTCCACAACAGGGTGGGGATGATGAAGAATAGGACACCAACTTTTTCCAGTAGATACTCACAAGAACATTATAAGATCCCCATATGTCACCGCAGATTGCGGCAAATGGGCTACCTAGAAAAACCAAACTTAATTTCAATACGAAATGGTCACGCATTTAAAAAGATGTTTGTTCGGCTTTGATTAAGTGACTCTGATCAACAACCGTAGCCTCTGAGTGTGAAACCTGAATACATGCAGATATCGAGGTGCTAAGGGCTTAGAAATGGAGCGGTTGAAATAGCCTGTTCCGTTGGACTACACGGATCTTTGTGTGTCGTTCTGGAAACAATCTCACCAAAAATAGGGACTAATCGAAGTGAATGATGCTGGAGCAAAATGTTTGGAAAGCAATTTCCTTAGAAAGATGGTTTTACCAAAAATAGGGACTAATCGAAGTGAATGATGCTGGAGCAAAATGTTTGGAAAGCAATTTCCTTAGAAGAGATGGTTTTATGCCTTCAGAAACATCCAAACTTTCCCACTGTTATTAGCAGTTTCAGTAAGAATGAACGTTCCCTCCCCTCGGTAGGAGGATCACGAGTTTCAGCTTGTGGCGATATACACATCATACGGAGAAGAATCGCTGTGACTGCGCAATCCGAATAGGATCGTAGATGTTGTCTGTGTTCTCCAGGAGATCAAGGCTGTGTCAGATGTAGTATGCAGTATCCTACACCAAATTGGATTAATCGATAATCGATAAAAGCGCCACACATCGATCATGAAGACGCCAAAAAGAATACATCTACATCAAAAGAGGTCAAGTAGCTAGTTCCTGCTAAGTTTTGTCAGTACGACCAAAAGTTATTTCATTATTGCCACTTCAAACTAACAAACTCTTACTATAGTGCTCGTAAAAATGACGTGCTTGTTAAAGGAGTTCCCGACAATCCCAGCTGCTTTCCGCTAATAGTTATTGATCGACTGAGGAGATTTTTCTTCCTTCTGATCTGGTGGGCTGGACCAGTCAGGTGTACGAAACATGATTACAGCGGGTACCTCTGTGGCTCCAAAAGGCCATTTACTCCCTGTGTCCAGGTAATATCTAACCAATCATTAAATATTTCCCCGGCCCTCCACCAGCTCTTTATCAGAGCAAGACTGTTTGGCAGCTCACCACTCTCACTTGAATAGTACTCATCCTCTCCAGGCAAGATTATTCCGCCGAGTCCACACCAAAGGGCAGAAGCGCTGGATTCGAGTATTACTGTTGTCAAAGCTTGTCACTAGTGCATATCTGTCGGGCTTCGAACTCCGGTCATCTGATATGTGAGGCGACCTTGTTACCACCACTACCACACCAATGCACACTAGACACACCTGGCTAGCTACATTCGATCGTAGTGTGGGGAGGTCTTGTAATCAATCTATAGGTGGCTCAGAGGAAAATTAATTTCACAAGATTAGTGAAACTTCCATTCGAAAAATCGTCGCTCAACGAGCCAGCCAACACGTGACCACATGATGTAGTTTCCATAACTGGAGGATGGGCGTCGCGTTATGCTGTCGAAATGAAAGCTAATCAATCACACTGTTGTTCAGCCACTCGAGAGAGAAGGCTAATGAGCTCAACCACCGGTAGCGAGTTCAAAACTTCCCTCTGGTGTTTTGTGCAATCCTTCTGACGAAACAACTGCACATGCTTCTCGGGTTTTCAGCAAACGTTGACTTCACTTACAGGACAATTGAAATTATGCCTTAGTTCAACAAATTAACATTAGATATCATCGAGAGCTGGAGGGGGTCACTTTTGAATCCCTATTCATCGTCCGGTTTCTTTCTAATAATCGGCAATTTCAGGAAAGAGATTACCTAGCGAAGGTGTCCCATTCGATATCACGCTGAGCTAATATCTTTCGAGCCAACTGTGAAGATGAAATGCCTCGTGGTGTAATGACCCAGGCCGATATGTAATGAAGAAGAGAATGACACATTCACAACATGTAACCTCGTCCCTCAAGTTACACCCATTCATCCTTCAGCACTGCAGGAGTTGTAGCCCAGTGCATTACCCACAAGGTCACATTGTGTGTAGTGCATTTTCCGCAAAATATCCCATAGAACGTGAAACAATGCAACCCTTTTGGACCATTACGTCTAGGTATCTGGCACGGTTTCCATTTGTACCATAAGTCGTCCACTGTTCCCATTACGTGACTGGACAGTGAGAGCATCACTGAACGTAGTTTTGTTGGCCAATTCGTCAGAATCGCTAAGACTGGATTGTGGCCCATGTGTTTGCTGTCTACGAAGATATTCAAAGCGGTTGTATAGAGCATGTCTCCCGAAACTGTCATTACCTGCCGCCTGGAGGTACACGCTGTACTTTACATCTTCAGCATGCTAGCAATAATGTCAACGCCGCACCTCTCTCTACGCCATTTTCCATGCGTGGTTGGGAGGAAAATCGTTCACGGACTCAAATCTTTAGGACTTGTATCATGGCTTATTGCACTCTAATGAAATTGTTAAACCATGTATAGAAGTAGCGAACCTGTAGAGCCCGGAATAATTGGATTGATTCTTTGACAAAAGGCGTCATGTGTATATTGAGTCCAGTTAGTCCGACATGAACTGAAACCTTGGGTTACGTTGCTAATCGAATCCAATACAGTAGGCCAAACGGCAAGTACGATTTTGCCAAACGTTTTCCAGTGGCTAGGAGTTCTTGCTCCGTCCCACACCAGCACTCTAATGCATGTTGTCGACACGTGATCAAACAGTGCGAATCACGTGTCACTGTCACGTGTACGCGCAACTCATTCAAGCACGCCACGGTGGGAGATGAGTCATCGACTGCCATGCATGTCTGACAGAGTTAAGCAATAAAAAATATTTTAACAAAGTTATGCAAGCTAGTTGATCCAATCGCCTTAATGCTTTGAGAGGATCTAAAACGAAACATCTGGTCATTGGTTGTGCCGTTTTTTTCCTCGGTACGTTTGTTTCGTTGATTGACCTGCGGCTGAGTTATCGCCAGCTAGCCGTCCATAGAATGACTTCTATCCAATCCGATTGTTCGTTCCACAATCGACTGATTTCGATATGCGGTAGCTGACCATCCAGCACACCGGAGGAAAGCGCTAATGGTAAATTTGCATTAGTGATTCTGGAAATCAAGAGATATTAGGACAGGTGGTCCGCCCGACAATATCTTGTTGGCTCATCCGTCGAGGACTATTTTTTACCCTCACATGATGAGATCGCATTGCACGTGTACCAATGTTGGCGGTGAGATACGTGTGGCTGTATGGAACAAGACTACCCGAAAAAACACTGGGGATGTAAGTATTGACCAGGGTGCCGTGTCCTGGTGTGAATGAATTCCATGCGGAAATGCTAAGGTCCCTTAGAATATTTCAAAAAACTCTATTGCGCGAAGCAAGAACAGAGTACACTCTACGCTGATATCGCTTAGCCTGAGGTCGAATTTAAAAACTAGTCGTCGGTAGAGTGGTATTCTCGCAACTGAGGTGCACAGCACAAGCAGCAAAAACATGGGGATGCTACGACCCATCTCATTAAAATGCTTCGGTGATCATGGGACTTACCTGTATCCAAAGAAGCTTCCTATGTGCCCCCACTGATCCTTCAGATAAGTGATCTACAAAAGGGAAAATACAGGTCTGCCACAGATGTTGGCCGAAAGTTTTGAGGAGTATGGGACAAGACAGCCTTGATCCCGCTCAGCAAGTGAAACCAACTAATATTGAAGCATTGCAAAAACAGCGTAGATTTTCAATCACGTGGAAAATACTTGAAACCGATTGGGTAGTCATCGTTTTCGAAAACGTTTGGTGACAATCGGTAGATTTATTGCTGGGCAACGTTTCGCTTTTGACAGAAAAGCTTCGTCAGGCCAAGTGACTAGGTTCGAGGTTGATCAAGATTTAAGGCGGAAGGAGAAACAATCAGCTAAATCAAGCAAAATCTCTGTTGGGTGTCGACCGAGGGATTTTAGTGTGTTGGAGTGGTTGAACAAGTGTTGGGTCGGTGGGGAAACCTACATGTGTTTGGGTCCTGCCTAGGGTCTAGTTCTTCTGGTTCGGTTCATTTGATGGTACCTCTTTCTTAGCAAAATGATAGAACCATCGCGTATGCAACATTAGATGCTTAAAAGCACAACTTCATTCCCAGCTCCCTGATTGTGAAGCCACCGGATACGTCAGCTGCTTCTGCTAAAATTGCTTTGTCAGCAGCCAAGTCATTCGTCAAGCAGAGGACCTACCTAACCATCCAGCGTTTAACCGATGTACGCTGCCACGCCAGTCAACTCAGCCAAAATCTTCAGACCGCAATCTCAACCACCGACTTCCAGATGCTCAACACCAAAGCCACAGAAGTGAAGCTTGCACAGGGCCGGCAATGCAAGGATAGGCAGATCCCTAAGTTCGAACAACTGCTTTCCATGACTCAGGGCCCCAAAAAAGTCATAGAAACAAAGAAACCATCCACCAATTACTGTAGTGTAGTTAATTTGTCAGATAGACCACTGAGTGAAGACGAACGCTGTCTGTTAGAAAAGGGGCTAAACTTCGCTGTGAGCAAAAAAGTAATAACAGCGGAGGAGATAATTCCTAGTGTAGAGTCAGTGTTTCAAAAGCTTCCTTCAGCGGAAGCTGAGAAGCTACGGATACAACCGGTCACAGTCCTGAAATCCCAACAGCCGGGAGCTCCAAATATTGCACCATCAGAGCGGAGAGCGTTGAACACACTGAGACAGGTAGATAGTATTGTCATTACCAAGGCCGATAAGGGTAAAGCCACAGTAGTGATGAATAAGAGCGACTATCTTCAAAAAGTCAGGCAACACCTCGCCGATGGACCCTACCGACAAATTACCGGTAGCAGTATTACTTCAATAATGAATAAGAGTAAGGTTGAAGTTGGGAGATATTTAAGATGCGTAATAAACCATTTGGGGCAATGTAAGTGGTATCGGTTGTATCCAAAAAGTGCGATTCAACCGCGACTCTACGGACTGCCAAAAATCCACAAGGCAGATGTACCGATAAGGCCAATAGTGGATGGTATAGGCGCGCCGCCGCATGAACTGGCCAGATTCTTAGCTAGTATACTAAAACCGCTCACGGGGAAATCAAGCACCTTCATTAGGCATTCGTATGACTTTGCCAACAAGGTCGCAGGGCTTCCTTTGGAGATGGACGAAGTCCTCGTGAGTTTTGACGTAATATAAATGTACACAAACACCCCTAGGGCAGATGCTCTGGAGGTAACTAAGAGGTTGTTACTGACAGACACAACACTCGGGGAACGGACACAGCTCTCGGTGGATGAAATAGTTGAGGGCATAAGAGTGTGTTTGAATCTTGATAAGTTTGTTTTTGACACAACTGTTTACTCACAAGAACAAGGCCTTGCAATGGGATCTCCAATATCCCCAGTTTTAGCCAGTATTTACATGCAGGACTTCGAACAAATAGCTTTGGCCGGATATCATTGTCCACCCAAAGTTTTTGGCGTTATGTTGACGACACGTTTGTTGTGATCAAACGAGACAACGTAAACAGCTTCCACGACTATCTCAATAGTTTAAACCCACACATTAAGTTTAGCGTGGAGATAGAGTCCACATCGGGCACATTACCCTTTCTGGGCTGTATAACACATAAGGTTGGTGGGAAATTGAAAACGACTGTCTACCAGAAACCAACAGACACGGGGACCGTCTTAAGCTATTCATCAGCACACCCAAAGTCCGTGTACGCCAGCATTGTCTCATCGATGTTTCGTCGAGTTAGAGCGCTGTGCACAGAAGAGATCGACCGGACGGCAGCTCAAATCGAGATTGCCAACAAACTTCAAGAAATAGGATACCCAGTGAGTTTGATTAGGCGACAACTAAGGAAGATATTGGCTCCAGTATCTAGACCCAGTAAGGAATGGATTGGCACAGCAGTCATTCCATATAAAGCAGGAACATCGGAGGTTATTCGAAGATTGTTGAACTTAGCCAACATTCGAGTAGCTTTTCAGAAGGGAAAAACGCTACTCTCAGTTTTGGTGCAATTGAAAGATGCCCTGCCGGCTGAAAGGACTAGGGACTTTGTGTACAAAATTAACTGCAAAGATTGTGCTAAGGTTTATATAGGACAAACTTCCAGGGAATTGCACGCCAGAATTGGTGAGCATACAAGGATTAACAAACCACCAAGGAATGCAGAAGAATACCAAACGCTGGTCAAAGACTCAGCGATGGCGGCACATGCCTTAGACACGGGACATAGAATAGATCTGGAGAATGTGGAAGTCTTAAGACGGGGACTGTGATTCACACCACAACGGCTGATACCCGAGGTGGAAATCACTAAGCATCACAGCGTGAATAGAATCGAGGGTGTGGAGCTAGCGAGCGTATGGAAAGCGGTTTTAGATAAGCCGAGTTGAGACGTGACGGTATGGTTGTCAATTCACTTAGGATCATTAGAATAAACCGGGGAATGGGGGTGGAAACCCCAACCGACCAAAGGTCACAGCATCCCTCTTACACAACTTTCTTAGCACTAGCTCACCCACAAGACTAACAGCCGATTGTCACCAAACTTTTTCGAAAGCGTAGATTTTCTTTCAGGAAAACTGCTCATAAGTTTTCTGAAAACTCTTCGATAGCTCACAACCAGTTTCATTCTTCTTTGGGCTATTCAGGCAGACGTTTCATACTAGACATACGGTTTGTTTGATCACATTTGACGTGGTGACAGCTCAAAGAAAGCGCGTTTCGAGGCATTTAGATGGCCGAATTCTCAATAGGCTACCAAATAAGATGCGCATTGAAAACAGGGAAGGATCGTGCTAAAGAGTGCGATGCCTGCATATCGAATCGATTTCAAGGCTTAGTACTAAACCCTTCAGGTAATATCTCACTTGGTCTCAGGTGGTTCGTGTGCCGAGGCCGAGTTATTAATTTAGTGTGTCACATGATTGACAGATGAGTCATACCCGCTTTGCCCACACCTGTCAATCAGCTGTGGCGCGTTACTCACCAACCCCACATGAACTTCAGGCTGTTTCCCAATTGGTCTATCCGTTATCGTTTTGTAAAGTGAATGTAACGATCCGCTAAAGTCACCTTACAGACAGCTCGAATTCAGTCTATCCTGTTTAGTTGGGGATCACGGTAACAGTGTGGTGGGTTTTTATTCTGACTAGTTCAATCACTGTGTAGTTAGGTACCACAGGGACCAAAGAATTACGACGGAATCAATGGTCTTTGGCAGATGACTCAAATTTCCGCGGAATAGCGTGTTTCATCGGGATGACGGGGACAGGATTGATTAAATATTGTATAACACACTTTTCCACCAACAAAAGAGAAGGTTTAGGGGAATTCTTCACTCCTTTTGGAGTATAATAGTCAAATATTCATTTCTTTTAAACATATTCGACCAGGACACACCAATACACACAATGAACCCGTGTAGTCGTCATCAGTTCTTCTGTCCTGTACGTTTAGAAACGCAGATTCATTGTATGTTGCTTTATTCCATGTTCTATTTTAATGTGTGCTGCAACCATGGTCTACTTCAGCATTCGAAGCAAAATTCCTGTCCATGGGAATGCGAGGAACCAGTTTAGCAGTGGTACCTGTGAGGGTAACTACGCAACGTGACAGGTTCCTAGTAAGTTTATATCACCTTGCGTTCTGCTCGTGGTGTTTCCTCTTGTAGACTATTTTTTTGCAATTAGAGAGCCAGGGGGATCATTTCCCTCAAGGAGGGTTACAATCTGGGAAAACTTCCATCATATCAAGATGCTTCCTTGAGGCCGAATGCCCTAATCAAGGAAACCCAGTTCACAGGCCGTACCTCTTATGTCTGTCCACCTTTGCTGATGCAGTTCGTGTTCTTTCCATTACTGTTATAACAACCTCTACAGAAAATACCAAATTAATCAATAAAACAAGAATCTCACTTTAACAGACGTAATATATTACTCATAGGGTTACTGAAAATCCTTCGACAGCCCACGAGAGATTCAGCTGGGTTTTTGGTGAATTTCCCGCTAAATCAAATCGGTTTGCAAATGAGTGTATTTTGATAATCTCACTTTAACTTCCCCAAGCAGAATCCACAACCCAACAGGTTCAAAAGTCCAAATAATATTTTTTTTCTTTTTTCGCTGCAAACCTATCACAATGTCATTCCTGGACTGAATTAAGCAGTTATAAATCTCTCTGAGTTATTGTTAGTGAAATCAAACTTGTCGCATCTCGGGTTTGCTCCTGAAGTAAACCACGCTTATTGTTCCTTATAACTTATCTGTCTTCCAGGATGCCAGTTTTATCATTACATTCGATGGATCAGCTCTTCAAACAGCGTTTGCTGCGTTTGCTATGAATCATCTTTTTTCGCGAAAAAGATTGCCAACGCATTCGAATCTGGCTGACTCGAAGAAGCCAGTTTGTGTGCTACAGCGAATACGATGCTGTTAAGAGATATCACACAGGGAACTGTGTTTCATACTTGGTCGCTCGATGGTCCTGTAGACCACTTCACAGCAGGAGCGAGTTGGGTAACTGTGACAACTAATCGTCCGTGTTTCTACGCTTTCTTAGCTGTTTATTTCATTGCATGCTCCTATTTGGATGTGTACCATCCTGCTGACGGGATCTCAAAAACACTAATGTTCGTCCCTGTGCAAACTATGGGAATATTCAAACAAATCTGTTATCATCTCAAGCATCGCGTAAATCAAGACGCCGGCCACAGTATTAACAAAAGTACACATAAATCAATTTGAATGAGACAAGAAGGTCTAATGATCGATTGAATTTGGAAGCCGAGTACAAATGAACATCACTCATACCACACAATCTCAAACCCATAATCCCTCCGATTGAAAAGTCCCGAAATTGGAGAAGTGAACACCACGTGAGTTACGTATTTAATGACCGGAACTAGGTTGCGAGTTAGCTACAGTTTTCTCTGTCGAACTGTCCAAATCAAACCACAGGCTCCAATATGAATGAAGTGACGGATCACGTGGGAAACAGAAGCGAAAACTCAAAACAGATTCGGTACGATTCACAATAAATCCCGTAGTTGAAGTGAGTTTGCTCACCGGTGTTCTAGACAACTTCGAGACTCGTCCAAAAAGCTGTCTTGCATTTGAAATCAAACTGTCATGGATGCCCTCATTAACGACAGTCTAACTGAATTTTCGAAAGCCCAAGAAAATCTATTTCTAAACTTGGGCAGAGGATGGATGAAGTACAGGCCCTTTCGATCGAGGTTGCAACCTTTACGTCCTCTGAACTAGAAGAAAAGGTGATTATGAAGACCCGCGATTTGAAGCTTTGTTAGGATAACGATCGGTCCATCGAGAACCGCCGACATGCAAAAGTGATTTGTCCATGCAACCTTTAACATCCGAGGAGAAAGTAGACCTGTGATTAAGGATCAAAAACAGGCACATGGGAAAAACGCATTTTTAGCTGTAACCTCGCCATGAACACGAGGAATCCGAAGCGGGCCAAGATGTAACGCACCGATGATGATCACGGGACTGGTGGACAAGTCAGGAGAGAGCTCGTTCCTGATTCCGTAAGCCCATGTGTAATCTTTTATCTAGTCGCGTCCGCTTCGTATTTTTCGCCATTCTGAATGTGCTTTTCTGTAGACTCTGATTCGACGTGCACAGCGCATGACTTAGTTGCTTTTGGTAACGTTGTTAGATGGCTCAATGGTTAGAGCACGAAGTTACTGAACGGAAGGTCCGTGGTTCGAACCCGACCTCCAGCTCTCGACTTCCCCTCTCTGGGTTTAGGCAACCTGGCAGTATTCTGGCCCTCGTACTTCCTACGGGTGGCATGAAAGCTAGGTACAGGAATGGTGTTACAGCTGAACGCTTATTACGAGAAACCAATCATCTTGATAGATTGGATGCACCTTCTTACGGCACACACTCTGACGAGCCGAAAGAATGGGTCAGTCAGGTCGAATTTCGGATGTCCTCCAATGCATCGCGACATTGTAAACGGGTCAGAAGATGACATACCCATCATACACTTATTCTAAGCTAGATCTAGACCACATGACAAAAGACTAGAATAGCTGAAGATGACGTACAACTTGTCGACAGTAGTCATAGTCCTGCTCTGTGGGAAAAGAGAGGTCCGGAATCGGCAGTATCACCAAGTCGGAACCTGAATCCAAAGTACAGAGTTCGAATAAAAGAAGTCTTTGAGCGGATGAAGGAAGAGACCGCGAAAGCGAAGAGCAAAGTATGATACACGTGAATCTCCGGGTAGTCCGTAAGGCACTAGTGCCATGACAACGAGTACTTTTAAGACTGCAAGAGGAGACCGAGGACTGCAGCTGGCCGCGCTCAAAATCAGAAGCGTAATTGGAAAACCGGATGGATTTCAGATGTAGATGGATGAGCACCAATCACATCTAGTCACATTAGCAGCAACCTGGCTGTCAGAGAATGCATCCAATATAGCGGCACCTACGAATCAATACACTGTACATTAGTGTAACCACACCGAGGTGACCGAACTTTCAGCTTGTTTGAAAATCAATATTTCACTTTTTTGTGGTTGGCACTCAGTAGTGTAGTAAATTGCATTAAACCGTGGGTTCGAACGAGCACCGAACAAGACTCCGTTTCACGATGTTCAGCGCAAAGCAAGGATTCGGAGTGAGCGATGATTCCTAATTCATATGTCTACGAAAAGGGTAGTAACTTCAACCAATAACAATTGTTTGCCTCCTGGTGATCTTGATCCATAAAGTGTGCAACTAAAAACTAAGTGGGCAAGAAGTACACTAACAAGTGATTAAATGCCGCTCCTTTAACTAAAGCAACAAACAGGATGGGTGGAGAACCATCGAGATAATTCTACTTGTATGTTCGGTTGAATGTTTCGTTCATTTGGATGTGCCGCACACAGACCGCCTCATGTTTCAGTTGGTACGATATTCGAGATATTGTAGTACATTTCCATAAAAGAAACTACTCATACGGTTGCTGAAAACTCTTCGACATCTCACGATCGGCTTCGTCCTTCTTGGGTCTCATGAGGTACGCGCAGTCTCCGAGTTTCCGTCAACCTTATGTTCCAACTGAAGCCAAACTGCACTGGTTTCGACAAATACATTTATTTGCAGATCAGTTTGATTTTCATGGGAGAGCCAACTGAATCTCCCGTTTATGATATTCTTCAACTGAATGTGCTGCACAAAGGCTGCCTCATGTTTCAGTTGGAACGACATTCCAGATGTCGTAGCATAGTTTCATGAAGGAAACCAATCATAAGGTTGAAGAGTTTTTTTTAACAACATTGTGAGTAGTCTCCTTTAGGGAAGTGCTGCTCGTTTCTTTTTTGCGAAGTATTTTAAAGCGGTCTGTCGCTGTCTGGGAGGAAACATGCACTGACCGGTTGATGAACTAATCACCACACCTATGGGTAGTGTTCCGTCAAGAAGAAAATATTTTTGTTCTTTTCTTTTGTATTACTGCTGGTTTCCAAACGGTTCACGTCTCAGTAACTAATACACATTAGATCCGGCAGGAATATATTTTCTTGTTTGTAACCAGAAACGCTGAAAATATGGAACATTCCTCATGAACAGAATTGCTTACCCCACCCAGATCCATAGCTTGATCAAGAATCATCACGATTCCCCGATAGTCATTGTCTAACCACATTGAACTGGAAACGAGCAAGCTCAGCCTGACTCGTCTGTCCAGTCCAACTGATTCGACATCCGGTCCGTTCTGATGTCGTGCTGGAGTTGGATGCGGCACGGATTTACGAACAAGTTCGTCCAGTAGGACGGCGTATCCGAGATTGAAACCTTTGTGTTTCAAGTCTTGCGGTGAACTCTTCAAGCGCATCGCGTTGACCAACTCACGCCCGCGGTAATGGCCGAGGAAAACGTTGCCTTCAGTGAGATAACTGCCAGGCATCCCCAGAACGACATGTGCTTCTCCAAACGCAGTGCCTGCCAATGCGCGGGGCGAAAAAATACAACGCTTTTTTCAATAGGACGTAATTTGGTTCCCGTAAACCAGAAACATTCCACATTAACCGATCGATCGTCCTAATAAATTTATGTGGATGACTCACCGGTTTCCACATCTGCACTGAATCCGGCCAGACACGCACCCTCTTCTTGGCCAATGCATGCATCAACCGATGTGTATTGCATGGAAGCACCGGTGTACAGAGCGCATTGCCCAGTTCCCAAAAGGTTCTGTGAGTGAAGTGGCCTGCTGTCTGTCGGCCTGATACCATCTGTCTGATTAATTGGCTCTGGGGCGTAGATATACCTTGGATCACAGCCGAGTTGTATCCCGTTCTGAGCGTTACTGGCAGCAGCTACTGTGCCTCCAAGCCATGAAGAAACTGCAATGATTGAAAAAAAATAGGCGAAAAGGGTGAGGTGAATTGAGACTTAATAACAGAAAATTTGGGCGTTAGCACGTGTGGTTTCGGTGAAAACTATCAGACCAGATTGATAAGTTGGAACATATGGGGGCATCCTGGAGGGATATTGGGAACCAGACGATGGGTACTGTTTCAACTGGTTACTTGAAACAGATAGGATATTCATACAATTACACCGGGTCACGTGGATCGGCCCATTTTCATGACGAGTAGCGCTGTGGACTAGGCAGCATTAGCGCCATGTATTCTTCTAAGTACACATGAATTCATACTTAATCTACAGCAGTGAAACAGTATACTTCACAGTGTGCGAACACTTCTAAATGCGGTTTAGTTGGACGGGCGTCGACCAGTTGGTTGACTCTAGATTACTTCACACAGGCGGTGTACTTCATCTACTGACCGGCCAGTCAAACTGCAGCTTCAATAGTGGTGTAGTTGGGTCAACTGCAAACCTGAATGATTCCTCGATGGCAAGCGACCGACGGCTAACAGGCTAGAGTTATTCTGCTCAATACGTGTGACTGGTTTCAGTTGGGTCCACGTAGAGCGGTAGGCGTTAGAGGTAAACTGTTATCTAATGCGGACTGCTTCAGTTTTCAGTCAGCCTCCTCTGAGTGTCCTAATTTGGCCTAGCCAAGTGAAATGAACGCTGGTGAGGCCCGGGGATCGATTAGAAACTTCAGTGATGTCCATTGCGGCTAAGATCGTTTACGTCGAGTTCGAAGTAATCTTACAGGCGCGTACCTATAGACTCATCACTCCAGTTCAAACAGCATCAAGCTCCAGATGACTGTGTGGTTAAGGGCGAAAGATGCACGGTTCGAATCTGAACCCAGTATCTTGACGGCCCCTGTCTAGGCTTGGGCAACCTGGCATTAAATATGCCTCGTGGGTAGCATGGCAACTAGGCACCGAGAGGCTGTTACAGCTGAACGATTATTTATTATTAGTTATTACATCAAAACACGTACATGCATCCATAGCATCGACTACACACACGTGAAATTCGGACTTTATTGAGGAAAGCGAAACCCTTCAGGCCTTCAGTTAGAAGAAATACGGTCAGGACATTGCAAGCGAATTTTACACTTGTCAGTGAGATCCCTTATGGGCGAGATTCCGAGATCTTGCAGAAATGATAGGTTGCACTGAACAGGCAAATGTGTTCACGCTCCAGCGATGTGATCGGTCTGCCCGACGGCCTGAGCGATGACCCGGCAAATGATCTAGTTGTATCGATCGATTCACGCACCTGTCTAGACTTCCAGGTCAGGCAGCACCACGAACGATTTGAGCCCTACTGGGTGATTTTGATTAGTTGTTGGTGATAGCAGGGTTTTTAGAATTCGAATTGAAATAACTCTCGTTTGAACACTCGTCCTCCTTTCCTGACGTAACAAACTCCCGTAAAAGCAGAGAGCAAAGGCTGTGTTGGAGACCAAAAACTGCGCCGGCAAAGCATATTTTCCAAACTGCCAGTGAGCGAACGACATCGCAAGCCTGTGCATTCCCTAATGACCTCTGAGAAATATAAATGGAAGTAGGCTATAATTTATTATGCATTTTTTAGGCCAGAAAAGAAAACGAAAAACTGATATTATTTTTTACTTCGTATTATGCACCTTGTGAGGAATATTCACGGTAAGTAAATCCATATTCGATCGACTGATCAATAAATAGATGTTCTACTGACCCAGTTGGGAGGAACTGCAGACGTGGAAAACCGTTCAGTGAGTGAGACGGGACTGATCATAAAAACAGGACAACGGTGAAAATCTAACCTTGGTATCTTCGTTGAAAACTTTTGGTTTGAATGCAAAACCAAGGATGAACCGTACCATAACCGGGAGATAGACTGCACAGTCGCAAGTGGTTCACTAATGCACCTCTGTAACAACAAATATGTTCGTCCTGGAGGCAGGAAAAGTCAAGTCAAATGATCAATACCACTTCACGAAATCCCTGTATCTAACGGACCGTGAATTTAACAGCTTACGGTTTTTTGTCAGTCACCTAATCCTTACGAATCTCTGGTTCTCATCAAGCTGAGAAGACCATCCTTCGTATTGTCAGTGGATAACTCGAACACCGGGCACCAGTGTTGTGTCATCCGAGGGGAGGGGTGGATCGTGCGATAATAGATCATGTCCATTTTTTTAGACACACGCCACCAAGGTGAACCTAGGTGAACGTCCCGGTGCTCGTCCGACGACCAGATCGCGAGAAGCACAACTACTGTTCTAGCGGGTCTCGGTAAAACCTCATGCACGGGGGATGGAATAAAATAGTGCGGTAATACACTGTAATATGGTAATACGCTGAAAAATGCGACCCGAGTAATTTTGTAGGACGGTTTGGGGCGCGGCAGCTTATGGCGGTGTGAACGAAAAAACAGGATAAAAGAAGAGATAGAACAGCTTCGCTGGTTGCTTGAAATTACCATGCTGATGTTTACCCCAAATCATTGGTGTGGTGGTGAGTCTCTGATAGCCTAACCTCACAGACGACATGCACCAGTGCAGCCAAGATTCGTCGCCATATTTTTTGTTCACCGTCTCCAGGTCCAACTTTCCGTCGGAACCTTCCTCAACAAACACGGCACGATGGAGCAATTGGCTACCTGGCCTGATGAGCGTATGTCCGATAAGATGCACCTACCCTCATAGGTAAATCCGTTGACTACCTATATAGTGCTATGACCAGCTTTGGTGGTCCAACCTCCAAGTCCCTTAAGAGCACTTTGCACTTTGTAGGTGCAAAAAGCGTGGTGACATTGGTCACATTATTTGGTGTATTTTCTCTCCGGATAGAGTATGGACCAGGTAGTGCAATCTCGTCTGCGTTCTCCATGTCTTCTCCTGAAAAAAGCTGGCGGTAGGAGGCGTGCGTTTCGTCGAATACTAATTCGATTACGAGGTTGAAGAGGACAGCTCTTACGATAGCGTGGTGCTGAACTCATGCACTCACGCGCCCGTGGGTATTGCAGACGTGTGGCGATTCTGTTCAGTGCAACTTCCAAGGAGCGACATCATCACAAGCCATCACAATCGACTAAGAATAATCCTGCTTTTAGGCAATGGCTGTTGGCTTTTTATATGTGTAGCCCTGCTCGACAAGCTGTCGTAAAGGTAAGGATGCATCGACGAACCGCACAGGTTTTCACGACCCTACGACTCACCAGTGCTAGTAAGTCTGCGTGGAAAACTTGGAAGTGATGGAGGCTAAATTGGAAAGCTATGAATTTTGGACATCCTGTTTTATCATAACACGAGAACACAGAAGCTAGACCTTCGAAACCAGATATGTAAACGCGGTTCACGGCAGGAACCGTCAAAAATGATCTCCTAAATGCTTCGTGGACCCACGAAGAAAATGCTCATCAAATTGGGAAAGTTAGCCGAACATATGCAAGACGGAGTAATGTCTACCCCTAGAGGCCCATTTCTTTCAATTTTTTCAGAATAACAAAACAGAACTATCGAAATAAACCTTCCTAGTGGAACAACCAAATAGGAGTTAATCAGACCACAAGGTAACACGAATTACAAGCCTGTCGTTCAGCTGCAGTGTCCATTCGGTGCCTGACTGCCATGCCACCAGAAGAAAGCACAAGGGCTAGAACACTGCCAGGTTGTCCAAGCCCAGACGGAGGAAGTCAAGAGGTTGGGTTCGAACCACTGACCTTCTGGTCAGTAAATTTGCGCTCTAACCAATGGGCCTATCACTCCAAACAATCAATAAATCGAGTTATACCTATTGGACGTGATGATAAATTATGTGGGTACCACGGTGGAATGGTTTCCAACACTGTCTTCTAGATTGGTGGAGAAACCTCTGCAAGATATCTGTCAAGCTCGGCGGAGATTAATCAGCGAATCTTAGATCCCGTCCTGCAGGTGAAGCTAACTATTATACGGAAAAGACTGTGGAGCACTGTACGGCTGCTTTATCCTTACTGGGAACAAGCAGCTGAAAGCATCTCACGAAATTCCAGGGATTTTCGAGACAGCGACCTCTCTTCTGGTAGTTTGAACTCTTAAACAGTTCGACCAAGAGCGTTCGATCCGCGTAGTGTGACTAACTCACACTCAGACAGAATATAGCGCCACCCATCACTCATCCTCGGAATCCACATCACATGGTCACGTTTTTTTTATATACGTCTAGTGTGCTGGATTGCGATGGGCTTTCAGAGGCTCCGGAATTTGGAGAGATCGGACATGGTTAAACACCACTTAGATCAAGCTGACTAAAGAACATGTCTGGGTTTGACTGGAAGCGAGGGTATCTCTCCAGATTGGAGAAGCCATCTGCTTCAGGCAGTCCGTGCGGCCAAAATGACTTGAAACAGCCTGCGGCAATTCTATTTGTGGAATAGCATAACAAGCACACTTCCTGGAATGAAAGCATGTTAAAATGGGCTGGTTGCCCCAAAGTTGTTTAAAAATTAAAGTCACTTTGTTTTAAGGAACTCTACTCATAAGGTTACAGATTACCCTTCGACAACCCATGATCAGTTTTGCCCTTCTTGGGGTTCATAGGGTAGGTGCAGTCCCCAAGTTTCTGTCAAATTTATGTTCCACTTGAACCCAAGCTGTACGAAGTTTACGAAATGCACTCGTTTGAACACAAGTTTCTTCTACGAGAGGCTCAAATGAGTCCCAGCTGGATCTCTCGGTTATGATATTCCTCAAGTGACTGTGCTGTGTATCGGCCACCTCATGTGTTACTTTCTGAAATATCGCTGTGTATTCTCTTGTGGGAAACTGTTCATAAGGTTGCCGAAAACTGTTCGACAACTTGGTGTGCAAGCGACTGTATTTCGCGGATTGCGTCCGATTCGGGTTCACGTAGACTATAAAGTTAACGGGAACTCAGGAACTGCGACCGCCTGATAAGCCCGAAGAAAGGCGTGGGCTATCGGAGGGGCTTCAACAACTTTACGAGAATTTTCC